AGAGAGAGAGAGAGAGAGAGAGAGAGAGAGAGAGAGAAAGAGAGAGAGAGAGAGCAGTTACTAGTTACCTCGTATTTGTTTTTTCTTTTTCTTTTTTCTTTTGCTCGAACCTTGTACGATATTTTGGTTATCAAGATTTGTCTCCTTATTATGGCCATCTTCTGAAGCTTCATCGCCTTTCAAGATGACTTTGTCATCATCACCGAAAATTTGATAAGGCATTGTCTCCCCATCGTCTATGTGTGACTTTGGATGCATACCGCTGTTGTTTCGGTACTTATACATGGTAGTACGTTCTAGCAGTTCATTCATAATCTGAACTGACCATTTGTGCTTTTCTTTCTTTTCCCTTATCTTTCTTATCTTCTTCCACACTTCAAACATTGATAAAAGGAAAATGAATTTATCTCAAAATTAAATAGGTGTACCAAATGAAACATGAACAAAGGTCGTTTAGGTTAAAAAAAATATATATGGTAAGAAGAAAGAAAAAAAAGAAAAAAAGTGCCTTACGAGGATTTTCTTTGTTGGTAGGAGGAACAGGGGTCTCTTGATTTCCTTCGTTGGTACGAGGAGCAACAGGGGTCTCTGCATTTCCTTCGTTGGTAGGAGGAACAAAAGGGGTCTCTGGATCAGGTCTCTGAGAGCTCCGGTTAAAGATAACTGCAAAGTAGTAGCTTAGCTTATATATAAAGTACGTAGTACAGACTACAGAGCATATATATGATTTAAATTGAGCTATAATATCTTAATAATATATATATATATATATGGTTACTTAATGGTGTTTGGAAAATGCTCAAACATTTTGTAATCTGAGTAAAATTGATTTTCAACTCACATACCAACACCAATCAATTTCCGGAACAACCTAATGAAGTTGATGTCCTTTTCCTGTTTGTTTGTCTTATTAATTCCCCCTTGATTAGAGCTATCCGGTGGCTCCACCTTAAGCTTATCGACATGTAGAGCTTTCAAAAAACCATACACAAGAATGACTTCTGTGAGTCTAGAATATGGAAATATCGACACAAGTACATTTTAATTTTGAATCTCATCTCATCTCATACATAGTCTACGTATGCATCCTTGCCAGTAACTCTGGACTAATACTTACCATGATATATGATGCTGTCGGTTCTGCTAAGATGGCTACCAGTTCTGAAGGCAGAAGGCTTAGCGGCCAGAAGATGGAGAGGGGAAACCCCTTTCTCATTGACAGTATCAGCAAGCTTTTCATAAAGGTGAATGATCTGAAATGCCAGATCTGTCAACCACAACATATATATGTTAATTGTTACTTATTATTTTACGCTACATAATAAACAAATAAACACATATCTGTGCAATGCGAGTGACTAAATTATTAATTACCAAAGTAGTCCCCTGAAATTGCGCAATGCAAGATAGTGTCGCCGTCCTTCCTTCTATAATAGTCGTTGAGTTTCTGCTTACCATCCGGGGAGGCGATGCATATGTTGTGGAGGCATAAGAAGGCAGCTTTTTTGCCATGGAGAGCCGCCAAGAAGAGAGGAGTCTCCTTGTCAGCGTTAAAAGCACCAACCAACAACGGATCGCGTGTGGCAATGCATTCACACATCCTCTCATTCCCCATTGATGCTGCAATGTGGAGAGGGGTGTTCCTTCGCTTGTTTTCCGTTTTTAGCTTTTCATTGGGCATTAGTTTTACCAGTTCCTTAACATAATCTTCTTGCCGCTCGGACACTGCTATGTGCAATGCTGTGTCCCCTGCGCTGGTGATCCTTGCCTCGTGAGCCTCTGGGTTCAGCTTGTAGGTTATAACAACTTCTTTCCATTTGTTTTCCATGGTGATATGGAACAGATGCTCCCTGATCGTCTCAGTGTCCATACGCTTGATCTCGTCTTCCGTGGCCATATTATTCTATTCCTAGCTCCTGCTACTATGAGTGAGTGAATATTAAAACTGACCTTGGTTTTCATATGGGCTAGTAATGAACTTTGTTCTGAATGATTTATAATTGCCAAAAGAAGATAATACGTACTTCATCACCATAACTCTGCAATTGCTTTTGGAAAACATATATCATATTCTGAAGATTGTACCTTAGGACCTTTTCTTTATCAATGTGTAAACCATGGACGTCAATCCTTTCTTCAAAAGCGATATCGATGTCTTTAAATTTAATAGTAAATTTAACTTAACTCCTTTATAGTCATTTTTCCTCATCAACTACAACCCATCTCTTTATTTTTTATAAAAACTCAAAGAACTAGGGTGATTGCTATGCTATTAATAGGGAGTTTTAATTACAATTTTAATCCCTAAAATTCCAAGAGAGAATGAGTTTTTAAGAAAAGATAACTTTACAAATAAAAGTTAAATTCCGTACTTTAAATTCGTTCCCCAAACAAGAAACTTTACAAATTATAGAACATCAATTTCCGTCATTTATGAATTCTTTTGTACTTTTAAATTTCCTCATCCAAACGCATTGGAAGATCACTTGTATCTCAAGTAAGTTTTGTGTGCTCCTATAATCCATCCGCACATGTGGTGTTTCTTCATCAAATAAAAATCCTGATCTCAAGTGTATATGCATATGGCTCCATGAGAGCCTGCAGAAAAGGGGAGAAAGTAGAGGCTGGCAATTAATTTCTCCTTTACCGCTTTAGTTATTTTGGCTACTAGTATATATATATATATATATATCTCCACCCTTTACACTTCTTAATCTCCATGGCATATTCTCTCATCACCCTTTTCTTTTGGCCAGTTATACATCTATCTCCCCTTTACATTTCTTACTCTTTATTACCAATATCACAAGTTCACAACAGGACAGCTTATATTCCATATTCATTTCCCCTTTCATTTTGCGATTTCCTGCTTGTGAACCAGATAAGCAAGATGGCCCAATGATGTTGGTTTTAGAATGACTTTTTCAGCTATAGAGATTTACAAGTGTTTGATCCTTGCAAATAATAATCTGAACTAATATACTTACAATAGTTAAGGATTTTGTCGGTCCGACTAAGGTGGCTACCACTTGTAAAGGCTGAAGCCTTAGTAGCCAGACGATGGAGAGGGGAAGCCCCTTTTTCATTGACATAATTAACATTTCCATAACAGGTCAATTATACGAAATGCCAACGTAGGATTTGACCAAAGTTTTAGGGAGCATTAGTGTAATTAAGCCTATTATGAAGATCGTACATCAAGACTCTCTCTTTATCAATGTGCAAACGATGGACACAAAGGCGATATCCATCCTTGAATTCAAAGTCTAAAGAACATGAATGTAGGCCCAACTTCCAAAGACAATATTCATATTGATCTGTAAATGCAGCAAAGGTGCATACATATAAGTTCTGTAGTTCAATTTCCAATATGATGTTCTTAAATTTAAGAAAAATACAAGTTAACAAGTACCCAATTATAGCAGGGAAGTAAGGCTGCTACGAAGAAGGGCATTGCCATGGTTTTGGGACTTTCAATTTTGCACCGACTGAAGCTATATTTCGGTACATCTCTAAAAAGGGTCTATAAGATCACTTGGATCTTAAGTAAGTTTTGTATGCTCCTATAATCCATCTGCACACGTGGCGTTTCTTTATCAAATAGAAATCCTGATCTCAAGTATATATGCATGGCTCGATGAGAGCCTGCAGAAAAGGGGAGAAAGTAGAGAGGCTGGCAATTTCTCCTTTACCGCTTTAGTTATTTTGGCTACTAATATATATATATATATCTCCACCCTTTACACTTCTTAATTTCCACGGAAAATTCTCTCTTCACCCTTTTTATTTGGCCAGTTATATCTATATCTCTCCTTTACACTTCTTACTCTTTATTATTACACTACTACAAAATAATTAAACCGCGACACAAAGTAGACGACGGTGCATCTTAAAACCGTCGTTATGTTTTAAAAGACGACGGTGTGTTTTTAAAACCGTCATGATATATCATCTTATACACTACTAGCGTTAGATTATTTTTAAAAGACGACGCTTGTCACTAACAAACGTCGTCTTTTAAAACACGCTGAACAAAAAAAAGGTCACTTGATTTTTAAAAGATGACGTTTGTTAGTGACAAGCGTCGTCTTTTAAAAATCAAGTGGCCTTTTTTTGTAAAGACGACGGTTTTTTTGAAAGAACTGTCGTCTATTATATGTAAAGATGACGGGTTTTTTTAAAGAGCTGTCATCTATTATATGTAAAGACGATGGTTTTTTTTAATAAAAGAGTCGTCTTTTAAAACAAGCTAAATAAAGGCCGCTTAAGTGAATTTGCGCTCGACAAATTTTCAAATTTTCCCCCGTCTTTGAAAACCTTATCTCTCATTAACAAGCATTGTCTTTTAAAATGCGCTAAAAAAAGGCCGCTTAAGTGAATTCGCGCTCGACAAATTTTCATATTTTCCCCTGTCTCTGAAAACCTTATCTCTCCCTCCTTGAAACCCTCATGAGCTCTCTAAAACACCCTCAGGAAACTCTTTACAAAATCATCAAAAAATCGATATCAATGAAGGAGTTGAGAGATTGAGGTCTTCGCAGATCCATAAGATGGAGAGGGAGGTTCTGTGTTTGAGAATCAAAGCTGGTTGAAAGGTTTGATTTGAAAGTCACCTAATCTCTCAATACCCTTCTATATCTTGCTAGTGAATTTGGATTAGCCTCTTTGCGTTTATGGTATATGTTCTTTGTCTCCCTGATTTCAGATTTTCTGTCTCTCTTGATTTGTCTGGTTTGTTTACATATTTTTTTATATTTCTGGTTTCTTTTTAGATTTTCTGATTTGGTTCTCAGGAGATGAGGAGGAAGCTTGCAGATTTATAACTTTTTCTTTTGCAGGTTTTCTATGTGAGTCGTATGTTTTTTTGTTGTTGAAAATTTGTTACCTTCTCTTTTCCCCATCATTTTATTTATATATTTTTCCTTTTGCAGGTTCTCGATAGTCTTTTTTATGCTCATTTTACAAGTTTTCTATGGAAATATGGTCCAATGGTAAAATTTCTCTTCCACCTAATTTTATATGTTTATAATCTTAGCTTTTTTTCTCTCTCTGTCATTTTGATTTATTTACATGGATGATGGAGGAGACTTCAGTTGTGCATCATTTGTATGTTTGGATGAGGAAGGCTTGGATTAGGAGTATGTAGGTCGACTTGTTAGGAAAAGATTGTACTACTTAATTACCATATGTATCAATTGAATATTTATATTTAATTGGTAGGAATTATGTTTGATGTAGAATAAAAATTGGTTAACTATGTAATAACTATTGAATCTTCAAGTTTTATGAAAGAAACTATTTTTGAGTGTATATATTCATTAATAAAGCATTATGGTTGGTTTTCTAGTTAAAATCGTTGTATAGCATCATATGAAATCAAAAAGAACTAAAATGTAGCAGTTTGGGAACTTATTAGACGACGGTTTTCATAATAAATCATGGTCTTTACAGATAATTAACGACGGTTTTTATAAACCAACCGTTGGCTTTATAGATAATTAACGACGGTTTTTATAAAACAATTGTCGTCTTAACCTACAATCCACGACGGTTTTCATAAAAAACTGTCATCTTAACCTACAATCCACGACGGTTTTTAATAAAACCGTTGTCTTTCCTCCTATAATTAACGATCTTTACCTCTAAACAACGACGATTTTCTTTAAAAATCGTCGTCTTTATAGATAAACAATGACGGTGAAAAGCCGTCGTAGTTTGACACCCAAAAAGATGGCGGTCAATTTAACGACGGTTTTCAAAGCATTACAACGACGGTGGATCCCTGTCGTCTATTTTGTTTTTTGTAGTAGTGTTACCAATATCACAAGTTCACAGCAGGACAGCTATTATTCCATATTCACTTTCCCTTTCATCCTGCGGTTTCCTGCCTGTGGACCAGATAAGCAAGATGGCCCAATGATCTTGGTTTTAGAATGACTTTTTTAGCTATAGATATTTACAAGTGATTGATCCTTGCAAGTTGCAAATAATAATCTGAACTAATATACTTACAATAGTTATAAGGATTTTGTCCGTCCGACTAAGGTGGCTACCCCTTGTAAAGGCTGAAGCCTTAGTAAGTAGCCAGACGACGGAGAGGGGAAGCCCCTTTTTCATTGACATAATTAACCACATCTCCATAACAGGTCAATTATACGAAATGCCAAACCTTTCAAGCACAGCACGGACACAAACACAAACGCAAACAGATTGTTAATTAGTATCTGATATCATATCCTGGAAGTGATGAAATTAAGTGCCACTTAATTAATTACCAAATTAAAGTAGTCCCCCAGCAATGGCACAATGCAAGATGGTATCGCCGTGGCTTTCCGAATGACCATCAAGGGGGTTGGGGTTACGGATGTAGATGTAGTGGAGGCATAAGAAGGCATCTTTTTTTACCATAAAGACAGCAGCCAAGAAGAGAGAAGTCTCATTTTCTTGCCCATCGGGCACTGCTATGTAATGCTATGTCACCTGTGGTAGAAGTCATCTCTTCTCTTCTCTCCTCTTCACTTCTCTTCTTGCTACGAGTGGCAACCAATACTGGGGTTTGTGTTCCAATTTACTCTAGTAATTCATCACCATGCCCTATTTCTATACAATTTATTCTAGTAATCTTGTAGAACTTTTACTTCATAAAATATTATATAAATGAAGATTGCATCTCATAACCTCCTTTTTATTTATTAATTCGTAAATAAGATTGAGGGAGGCCCACCCAATCTTCAAAAGTGATGCCCTTGATTATTATAATTATTAAAGGCTAAAGAACATGAACAATTTCTAAAGAAAATATTCATTGATCTGTATATATGCAGCAAGTGCATGGACTCTGTTTGAATTTGGAGAATAAACAATGGAACTTGAAGAGTGCCCAATTATATCAGAGAAGTAAGGCTGCAGCTATCAAGAAGCACATTCCCATGATAGTGTGGGACTTTAATTTTGCATCCATGGAAAAGTTTTTCAGTATACCTCTAACAAGATCATGACTTGGATGTTAGGTATTTCGGTAATCCATCCACACACATGGAGTTTCATTCCGAAATCTAGCTATGATTTTTCTTTATCGAAGACGAATTCCGATCAATCTCTTTAGATTGAGGGGCCTGCAGAATGGAGGAGAACGTAGAGGTTGGCAAATTCTGTCTTAACCCCTTTAATTATTTTATTAATTATATGTCTCTCTAAGTACCCTTTACACTTGTTAATTTCCAATGCAAATTCTCTCTTCCACCCTTTTTCTTTTGGCCAGTTATCTTCCCTTTACACTTCTTACTATCTTTACCAAGAAATTCTAATGACCATTTTTCAAATGGACAAGATGGAGGTCCCAAGTGTTTGATGCTACCATAGCCTTATTACTTGGCTTGCGATTTTCCAAAGAAGAAAAATGTTACTTGTTTGTTCTTTCTTTTTATTTTTTCATTTAACCTATGTATTACTTGATTAAATATGTCCATAGCACCAAATCTTGTTGGATCTTGCCCAAATTGTCCTGCCTATTTACGGGTTGAGTTCTGTTTTCTTAGTACGAAAATATAAAAATGAAGTACCGAATTAAAAACCTTTTGCAAGTTTGTAGTTACATAAATAAATTCTTAAGGAGGAGCTACCTTGTAACTCCGTTGAGGCACCTTCTTATAAGTAGCCCATAGCAGATCAACATACAGAGGAAACTGCGCCATGGCAAAAAACGTTACAGGCAAGCACGTTACTGCATAAACCGGAAACGCAGCGTATTTGAGCTTGTCTTTAAGCACGAAGAAATGTCCGGCGCTGAAAGAAACCAACATAGAAGCAATGGACACGAACAGCGACGTCAAGCCAAGCAAAAGCTTCCTCGGCAGGTCTTTACCGAAATCCTTCTCTTGGTACCGGGACGTGAGGATGGACAGGAACATCACCATTGACGTGACCGAGAAGCAGAGCGCAACGAGCGAAGCGATGGCAAATGCCTCGAAAGCTGGTTGGTTTTCGAGGGTCGGTTCGCCACTGTCCTGTTTCATGCCACCTGGAACAGTGGTGGAAGTGGCAAAGGCCACGGTGGCAATGAGGGCCGCCACCACAGAGCAGGACTTGGAGGTGCTATTGAGCCATTGGCCTCCGGCCTCGACTTCCTTTGCGTGAGTTTCGGTGAAGATGTCCCTTGCCGTCTTGCTCTGCTTATTGTGGCGGGAAAAGAAGTTTGGTGGCACTGAGGCTTTTACGAACTGCATACACGCATGTATAAGGTATTAAATTTGTAAACTGTAATTTAATTATTTTGATTAGACCATGGCACCTCTGTGGGTTGAAATCCTTACCTCGTACCATTTGATTTCCCATTGCATCTGCAATGCAGCTCCAGGAATTAGCCAAGGCTTATGTTCTCCTAACTTTGCTGCTAGATGTAAAGCACTGTTCCCTTTATCATCCACCTTGCAGAGCACACTATCCCTCAAGATATCTCTCTTCAGCAACAAGTTGTACACATGGGGTTGCCTGTTCTCCACAGCCAACAGCACCATATTCTTTTTCTCTGCGTTCATGTCGTGGATGGCCACTGGAAAAAGTTCCAGGATCTTCTCCACCATCTCAATCACCCCATTTTTTGCAGCAATCAGTATTGGTGTTTCCCTAATTTTCATTGCTCTAGGGGTTTTCATCTCTATCGCTTCTGCTGATGATGATGACCCTAGATACATTTCATGAGATATTTAACTTACTGGTTGGCTACAAGCTACAGCCATGTATAATTTGCTAAGCATGGTGGAAAGACATGTGCTGAATTAAAATTATATGTAGAACAGTTACCTTCTGCAATGTTTTCTTTACCATTATTTGCCTTGTTATCTTCCTGTTGGCTATCTTGTAAAGACTCAATCAGAGGAGGAGTTACAATTGCCTGCTCAACGCTTCCGAGGGTCGTTAGGACGTTACCACTATCAACAATTTCATAAGGACTTGTCTCATCATTGTCTCTGCGGGATGGTGCTGCACCCTGCGGATTCATACCACTGTCTTCGTACTCGTACATAACAGCTCTTTTTAATAGTTCATTCATGATCTGAAAAGCCCATTTGTGCTTTTCTTTCTTTTCCCTTGTCTTCCGTATCTCCATAGACCCTTCAAGCATTAAAAGGGAAATGCATCTTACATTATATAAATTATGTCTGCACTGGATGGGTGTAGAATCTGTAGATTAGTCTTAAATAGAGGCATGAGATGATGAAACATACCAAGAGGTTTAGGATTTATAAAAAAAAGTGCCATACCTAATCCAAGAACAATCAGCATTGCCTTTGATATAAGCTTGACAAAATCAAAGCAGGTGCTATAATTAGCAGGAAATGATTGATGCCCACGAGGTCCATCATTTGATTGGGATCCTATATATAAATAAACATATTTTTCATGACCAACTAACAATTTTGTAAGGGTTTTACTTCAGACTAGGCTTGAGCTTGAAGCATATGAAAAAGAGTAGGCCTTTCTTGCCTGTATCTGCTGAATTTTGTCCTCTTCCCAGAATTTTGGTAACTGCAAAATAGTAGCTTGTGTACAGTACTTGAGTCCAGAGCATATAGAATTGAATTCAGTATTGAGAAACTTCGACATGGATCTAGCTAGTTTGATAGCACAAATGGTTGCTTCCTTAAACTGACTGATCCTTACAGAAATGCAAGTATAAATTAAAGCCAATCTTGACTAAAATACTTTTGTAGTTTGAATTAAATGGTTTTAATTCACATACCACACAGTTGAACCAATTTCCTGAACACCCGAAAGTAGTTGACGCATGTCTGGTAGTTTTCTGGATATTTGGGATCCTTTTCCTCTTTGAATGTCTTAATTAACCCCTGCTTAAATTGATCCTTTTGTTCCACCTTGAGATCATCAACATATATACCTTCCAACCAGTCATACAGAAGAATTATTACTTTAATACAGAACTGATCGATCGCGATACATGTTAGTTTTCGATCTTATGCATCCCTGCAAATAATACTGTATCTGTACTAATACTTACAGTAGTAAATTATTCTCTTGAATGGCCTAAGGTGGCTACCACTTTTGAAGGCAGAAGGCTTGCTAGCCAGAAGATGGAGAGGGGAATACCCTTCCTCATTGACATAATTCACAAGATCTTCATAGAGGCAAATTATCTGAAATGCCAAATCTGTTAAGCACCACGCAAATTGTTAATTCATTAATTTAATACATCACAGAAGAATATTTATATAAAATCTAGCTCATCAAGAAATAGATCATAAATATATATGTAAGTGATCAAGTGAAGAGCTAATTACCAAAGTAGTCCCCGAGAATTGCGCAATGCAATATGGTTTCACCATCCGTCCTCCTACAATTATTGTAGCGTTTCTTAGGATCATCAAGGGCAGGGGTATAGATGTAGTGGAGGCATAAGAAAGCATCTTTTCTACCATGGAGAGCAGCCAAGAACAGAGGAGTCTCATTATCTTTGTTAAGAACACCGACCAAAGACGGATTATCTTTGGCAATGCACTCACACATTCTCACATTACCCATCGATGCTGCAAGATGGAGAGGGGTATTCCCTCTGCCATTTTTAATTCGAAGCTCCTTTACAGTAACCAATTGTACTAGCTTTTCAACATGTTCTTCTTGGCCGTTGGACACTGCAATGTGCAATGCTGTGTCACCTGTCCTGGTGATCTTTGCCTTGCGAACCTGAGAATTTTGCCTATAAATTTGAACAACTTCTTTCCATTGGCTTTTCATGGTGATTTTGAACAAGTGTTTCTTGAGGCTCTCCTCAGTGTCTAGTTTAGTTATGGTGTTTGTTGTGGTAGAAGCCATTTTGATCTCTTCCTGCTATAATCAACTGGCAACTAAACACTGAAGTTTGTGTTTCTGTTCATATTTGTATTCATTCTTGGCTCTAGCTACTGTATATATAGTACATTGTTAGCTGTTATCAAAAGAAGACTGAAAGCTTGTTTCTCAGAATCTCTAAGTGGGGTCAACAAGACTTGGATCTCAAGTAAGTTTTGTATGCTCTTGTAGAAGGCTTTAATTTCTTTAACAAACAAGAACCGTAATCTTGTCTTCCTTGTACCCAAGGAAATTATTGAGGAAATTTTACATACTCTTCTGTGATACAACAGAGACTATAGCAGAAGGAAAATTAGTTTAGTCTTTACCCTTTTCTTTTGGCCAGTTATCTCTACTCTCCCTTTACACTTCTTTATTCTTCAAGGAAAAGAAAATAAAGTACACCAGTTCCATATATTCTGCTCTTTTCATTTTGGGGGTTACCTGTGGACATTAAAAGCAAGACTGCAAAGCATCTTAAATGATCATTTTGACGGACAGATATCACGACTTGAAACTGATCTGATTTGGAATGACTTTTTTTGCACTACAAGTATTTGATGCTGTTAGAGATTTACCTGATTGACAGATTTCCATGAAGAAAAGGATTGTTTGTTTTTAATACAAGCGATATTCTATTTTGATCTAATCTAAACTACATGGAGGGGGATTCGAACTCGGATACAGAATGGGGAGCACATCCGCTCTAACTAACTTAGCTAAGCCCATGTCTGCCTATAAGATGACCAAAGAGAACAATGAACTAAAAAAAGAGTGACTGCTACAATTCAGTGAAGTTCAATATGTAAACTTTATAGATTGCATATAGGAGAACACTACCTTGTTCTGTAGCCATTGGAATGATCGAAGCAGCAACTTGACACACACAGCACAGCAGCAACTTGACACACACAGCACAGCTCCTCAATATCGATTTCTGTATATCTCTCTCACAGATGGGGTATGAGTTCTCTAGAGTTGGCTATTCGATATGAGCAGGGACTATGTATTTATATGCATCAGTCGGAACTCCTTGCCCATCAAGGAGTTCTCAACCTCTCCTTATTGCATCAGAATTAGTAGTTCTAATCCACTATGAATTAGGAACCTTAGCAGTCTTGGACTTAAACTGAAACACTTCTCTCCAAGACTTACAAGTCCAGTTATAATTGAATTCCTTAGTCTCCACATAGCTTTGGAACTCTTCGTTGATTAGCAGACCACTTGAGTGAGATTTTTAAGACATAAAAATCTTACATTCTCCCACTTGGTCTATAATCAACAAAAACCATGTTTCAACTACTTTATGGCCATGGAAATCAATTAAACTGTATTCCTAAACAAGCTCTTGGTCAACTATGAAAACAAGCATCGAATTATCAAGGTGCCTTGAATATAAAACATCCAGGACCTTTATAATCACATATACCTATCTGCATAGCCACATAAAGCTTCCGTCAAGATTAGAACACAAGATGAACATGACTTTTCTTTAGAAAATGCTTTATGTCATTACCATCTGTAGTCCACTTCTTTAAGAGATTACAAGATCTCCCTTTCCAAAATAACTCTTTCGTGAGTGAGTATCAAGTGCAATTATTGAAGCTAGCTTGTCTACACTTGATACCAACTGAAATCACTTGTTTAAACAAATTAAACACAGAATCAAATAATAATAATAAGACTGCACTTTAACTGAAAATCAATCAAGGTTCTTAAATAATAATAAATAAATAAAAAGAGATTTTCTATTTAAACCCCACACTTCTCTTAGTTCACCCCATGTTCTAAGTTCACCCCATTTTTTAATTTAAATTTTCATAATTTCTAAGAAAACCCCACTGTCTTCCCAAACTACCCTTAAATACACCCCAAATTTAAACTGAAAAAAATGAGAAATAAAAGAGATTTTCTATTTAAACCCCACAATTTTCTTTGTTCCCAGCAGAAAAAAAACACAAACATATGGAACCCTAAACCCTTAGGTATTGTTGAGAGAGAGAGAGAGAGAGAGAGAGAGAGAGAGAGAGAGTTTGTAAACAGGAAGTTGGGGTGTGTGTATAGATATACTAGAGTTAAATATTAAGTTGGATGACCTTTTTTGTCTTTTTACACAATAATAAAACTTACAGCTTAATGATTTAAGTATTGGGGTATAAAATTATCACAAATAAAATATACATCCAATAATCACGAAACTTTGCAGAATTCATGAGGACACGTATATGCTTAACATATCAAAAATTCAGGTTATTTCAAGATCTTTAGGTGAGTCATATTCAACAATCTTTATACATAATGCAGAAACTGTCAGGAAAATTCCTGTGGATCTGTTTCAACTTTATAAATTCACCAAAAAATCAATTCTCAATATATTTTCATGAATTCAGCGTCTAAAGAAAGCTTAGAAAATGATCCTTATCGCCTAATTTTATCACAAATTAATTCGTACTACAACATTATGTAAATAGACATCATAGCAGCATAGTTCAAAACTGAAAAATTAGTTAACTATAGAATTATGAATGCTAACAATATACTGTATACACCTCAGAATTTAGTTATCCTTATGCATTCTAAACATTCAACATTAAGTTCCATGTAGGTGCAAAACAATTAATACATATCACAAAGGTAAAATATAAAATATCACTTTATCAAGTTTAAACACTTTGAGCAATCAAAAGATCGTTCGTATGTACCTTGAGTATCTTATATATTGCAATGTGCCACTTTTTATTCAACACAAAATTAGTGAGCCTTAATTAGAAGTGCAATTTGATCCACGCAACTCATTCAATTAAGAAATAACAGTAATACAATATCCTTAAACATGATCTAAACTTCATATTGCATGACCTTACAAAACAGCCAATTTATTTTATGATGAACACAACCTTATGGATTAATCCAACTTTACATGATTCAATCCATCAAATACGAATTAATACTTTTAGACATGTGGATTAGTCCAACTATACATGGTTTAATCCAAATCACCTACGGATCAATCCTTTTACATGTGAAGTTGCATTGATGCTACAAAACATTCACTTAAATGCATACAAAAGGCAACCAAGTCTCAAATATGTTCATACATAAACAAACAATATAGCCAAGCAAGAAAATTCCAAAATAGCTCACGTTTCCCTTTATGTGATCAACCAAAATTATCTTTCCTTGAGTCATGAAAACAACTTTTATGACTATTTAAGATCACTATTAATAAATTATTATCAGCAACTCAAGCAACGTGAGATTTATCAAAAACTGATAAATAGGACACGTATCATGTTACAATCCATATAACAAAACAAAACCGTATATGCGCCTAATGGAGTTAAGGTTCATTGTGACATTCCGAAAAGTTTTTAAAACACAAACATATCTGAATAAGCTGTCCCATAGTGCTTAAATATCTGTACATTATTGATTCACACCTGTGGGTTGAGAATCAAACATGTTTTTAGTGATCACCAAAAGAGTTCATATATGAATTCCTTTCATAGGTTAAATCCTCACATCTGTGGATAGAGAGAAATTCCTATTAATTCACATATGTTGTCTTTTGCATCACTCCACCATGAATATGCATGGATAAACTGTCCCCAAATAATCTGTACATTATCAATTTACGCCTGTGGGCTGAAAATTGAACATGTTATAGTGATCACCAAAATATTTGATATATGAATTTCTTTCACAGGATAATTTCTCACATCTGTGGATTGAAAGCAATCACTGTTTAATTCATATATCCCATATTTTGCACCACACCACAATGAATCACCATAACCATGATTAACCAACATCTGTGGACAGAAGGCAATCAAGATTACGATGGTCCATTGTGCAAGATTTCTCGATCATCTTTCTTGAATCCGAGATTCTTTAATCAACCAAACCGCTGTAGCTTGCTTGGTTGATCCAAGATTTCTTTGATTCTTGATCGTGAAGCTTTCAAGCATGGATGATAAAAGCCTTATATCTGAAACATATGCTTAACAGATCTATATTAATAGAAGAGTGAAAATAGACACATGCTAGTAAACTTTGAACTCAGATTATTGAAAACATAGTTATGTGTCGTTTCAAAAAATTAAGACTTTGTTAACATGCTTGGTTAAATTGCTTTTAGGTTCTAAAACATGCAACCTAAGCTCTGATACCACATGTAAACTTTATAGATTGCATATAGGAGAACACTACCTTGTTCTGTAGCCATTGGAATGATCGAAGCAGCAACTTGACACACACAGCACAGCAGCAACTTGACACACACAGCACAGCTCCTCAATATCGATTTCTGTATATCTCTCTCACAGATGGGGTATGAGTTCTCTAGAGTTGGCTATTCGATATGAGCAGGGACTATGTATTTATATGCATCAGTCGGAACTCCTTGCCCATCAAGGAGTTCTCAACCTCTCCTTATTGCATCAGAATTAGTAGTTCTAATCCACTATGAATTAGGAACCTTAGCAGTCTTGGACTTAAACTGAAACACTTCTCTCCAAGACTTACAAGTCCAGTTATAATTGAATTCCTTAGTCTCCACATAGCTTTGGAACTCTTCGTTGATTAGCAGACCACTTGAGTGAGATTTTTAAGACATAAAAATCTTACACAATACATATTAGTTCAACCACCAAAATTAATACAAAGTAGGCTATTAATTGAAAAATGTCACTCGAGAAAAATTTAATATTGCTAGCATATAAATGAAGCCTCCTCAATCAAAGAGGAGCTACCCTTGTGACTCCGCTCTCGAATGGAACCTTGTTGAAGTTGGCACATATCATATTAAAATACAGAGGAAAGTGGCCTACAGCAAAAATAGCCAGAGGCATGCACGTTATTGCATAAACCGGAAACGCAGCATGTTTGAGCTTATCTTTAAGCATGAAGAAATGTCCTGCACAAAATGAAATCAACATGGAAACCATGGACACGCAGAGCAATGTCAATCCCAGCAAGAGCTTGCTCGGCAGCACTTTTCCAAACTCCTTTTCCTTGTACCGGGACATAAGGATGGAGAGGAAAATGACCATGGATGTGACCGAGGAGCATAGTGCAATGAGCGAAGCAATGGCGAAGATGTCGAAAGCTGGCAAGTTTTCGAGGGTTGGTCTGCCAGTGATCTCTTTGATGCCACCGGGAACGGTGGTAGCAGTTGCAAAGGCGACCGTGGCAATAAGCGCGCCCATGACGGTGCAGGACTCGGAGGCCTTGGTAAGCCATGCCGCTCCGGCTTTCACGAGCTCTTTGTGGGTTTCTTTGAAGATGTCCTTTGCAGTCTTGTTTTTCTTATTGAAGCGGGGAAAGAAGCGTGGTGGCATGGAGGTTTTTACAATCTGCATATATGGTTCAAAGTTTGAGAACAAAAATGTTTACTAGCCATCTAGGTGTGTATTAGGCCTTGTTTGGTGGCTGAGACGGAATTGGACAATAGTCTAACAATTAATTAAGATTATGGGTTAAGTCCTCACCCGATACCATTTGATTTCCCATTGCATTTGGAAGGCAGGCCCATAAATTAGCCAAGGCTGATGGTCTCCCAACCTTGCTGCTAGATGTAACACACTATTCCCTTTATTATCCACTTTGCTGAACATGTGGTCTTTGTTGGGGATATTCTTACTTAGCAAGAGCCGGTACACATGGAGCTGCCTATTCTCCACAGCCACCAGCACTACATTCTTTCTCTCTGCGTTGATGTCACGGATGGCCACCGGAAAAAGCTCGAGGATCTTCTCCACCATCTCAGTCACACCATGTTTTGCAGCAATCAAGAAGGGTGTTTCCCTCTTTGCCAGTGCAAGGGTTTTCTTCTTCTCTCCCACTTCTGCCAATAATCAGGTATTAGGTACAATTTTTTTTAGGGAGATTCACTATTATACACAATATAGGAGCTCAAATTATATAAAAAAAAACCTTATATGAAATGGACTTTAGAAATACACTCAAAGCTCATTTACAACATAACAAAAAGGCTTTTAACTTCTTTTAAATTACAAAACTGCCATTGATTTCTTAAAACAAACTCAACCCCAAAACCTCATAAAAAAGCCCAAAACACGCAATAGGGCATCAAAGTAATTTAATAATCAAAATTAAATTCAATAGGGCCAGCTATCATTTTTTGGGTTTTTTTAGGGTGTGTTTATAGAAATTAAATGGTGTAGGGTTTATTTATAGTTTTAGTGCTAAGAATGGGTATATGACTAAATATCTCTTTTTTTTATCATACCTACACTATAGTGATTGGCAAGCTACAGCTGTTAGTAGAAAAAATTATTGAGTGTATCCGATATAGCACGTGACATACTGATATGGTGTATCAAATTCACACAAATCGTGAGATATATTTTTACCATTATTTGGCTTATTATCATCTTGTGGTTGTGGGGGAGGATTCATAATGGGCTGATTGTTAACGTTAATGCTTCCGAGGGTGACAACTTGGTCACCATATTGATCGACAATTTCATAAGGCCATGTTTCTTGATCATCATTGTCGTTTTTGTGGGATGGCGCTGTCTGTGGATGCATACCATTGTTTTCGTACGCATACATCAAACCACGTTTTAGTAGTTCATTCATGATCTGAATTGACCATTTGTGCCTTTCCTTCATTGCCCTTATCTTTTTTATCTCCTTAGGCCCTGTAAACAATGGATGCATAAGATGAAACATACCAAGATCAGAATTATAAATTAACTTCTTCTTTTTTTTTAAAAAAAAAAGGTGCAATACCCCATCCGAAAAGAATCTGCAATACTGCCTTTAAGAAAAGCTTGACAAACTCAAAGCAGGTGATATAATGTCCGGGCAATGATCGATGTCGTCGTGTTCCATCATTTGATTGGGATCCTATATAAATCAAACTAGATTACTAGAAATAAACACATTTTTCATGAGTCATGACTAATTAAACAGCGAAATTAAGAACTTAAATCATGACTCAGTACTAATTAATACAAAACTTACCTGGATTTCCTCTGTTCAGAGCATTAGGTCCTGCACCTGCAGGGTTCTCTGCATCTGCTGAATTTTTCCGGCTTTCGCCCTTATCGTGTTTGGTAACTACACACAATTTAGAGGGCAATGGATATTGCATAATAGAAGTATATAATATATGGTAGCTTGACCTTAAATCAGTTGATTTGATTATAAATTCACATACCAAGAACTTGAGCCATATGCCACAACAACCGAATAAAGTTGATGCACGTTTGATAGTTCTCTAGATATATGGGATCCTTTTCATCTTTGAATGTCTTGATCTTTCTCTGATCGTCATCCCAGTGACCCGGTCGTTCCGCCCTTTTGAGCTGATCAACATTTATATCTTCCAAATAACCATAAACAATTAAGAAAAATCTCAATGCTTTTGCCATTGATATTATTCTGTTGTAATAGTTATATAATTATGTTACAGTTATACTTACAGTAGTAAATGATTTGGTCCCACGGCCCAAGCCGGCTGCCACTTGCGAAGGCATAAGGTTTACTTGCAAGAAGATGGAGAGGGGAGTTTCCTTCCTCGTTTACATAAAAACTTAGTTCTTCATACAGGTCAATTATCTGAAATGCCAAATCTGTCAATCACAGAAAAAACACAATTAGTACTCTCAATTTTCAAGTGTGCTAGTGATCAAACAAATTGATTTTAAGTATGCCAATTAGTTAATTACCAAAGTAGTCCCGAGCAATTGCGCAATGCAAGATTGTATTGCCGTCCTTCCTCCTACAATATTTGTAGCGCTGCTGATCATCATGAAGGCTGCAAACGTAGTGCAGGCACAAGAAGGCAGCTTTTTTACCATGCAGAGCAGCCAAGAAGAGAGGGGTCTCGTTTTCTTTGTTGAAAGCATAAACCAACAAGGGATGATGCTTGGCAATGCACTCACACATTCTCACATTCCCCATGGCTGCTGCAATGTGGAGAGGGGTGTTTCCCCGCTCATTTCGAAGTTGCAGCTCGTTTGTGGAGATGAGTTTTACTAGCTCCTCAACATGCTCTTCTTGGCCATCGGACACCGCTACGTGTAGTGCTGTGTCACCTGACTCTGTGATCTTTGCCTCGCGAGCCCGAGGGTCTAGCCTATAGATTGCAACAACTTCTTTCCATTGGCTAGTTATGGTGATTTTGAACAAATATGTCTGCATGTTCTCCATGTTCTCTGTGTCCGTAGAGCTGCTGCTCATGGTAGAAATCATTTCTTCTCCTCTTTTTTCTACTTAATTAAGTGGAAATTATATTGATAGGGACGTTTGTGTTCATATTTATACAACATTAAGAAATAAAGACTGAAATGAAGAAGAGTATTTTAGTAACTTGGATCTTTAAGTAAGAATAACCCTAATCTCATCTTTCTTTAACAAGAGAAAAAGGAGGGAATCATGTTCTTGTGTGATACTTAGAAACAGGCCATATATAGTAAGACTCTCTGATGTCTACCCTTTACACTGTTTAAATTACATGCCAAATCGTCCCTTTATTTCTTTGGGTAACCCTTTACACTTTGTCCTTTAATCTTCTATCAGAACACATGAATTTGATTTCGGAATGACTTTTTTTACACTGCAAGTATTTGATGCGGCCAGAGATTTTACTTGATTTTTACAGTTTTCCTAGAAGAATAGTATTGCTAGGTCAAAGGAAAAACACACAACCAAATTCCAAAAGAAAGATAACAATATAAAGGCTTGTATCAAAAGAAATGATATAAAGGAACAGATGGACAAGCAGAAAAAACAGAAAAACAGAAGGTAGATCCATGTCTCACTTGGCCTTTTGTAATTACTGGTTTGAAATTTTCTAGACATGCTTCTGGCCGCATGCCTTACGCAACTTATCAACTTATCTGCCTTGTGACTTTGTCCGTGAATGATCACGACAGAACCCGAAAACTGTTGAGCAAATTTAGAGTACACAACTCTAATGTAGAGACTTGTTGGAGACAAAACAAGTAAACAATTTACTTGTATTAGACTCACAAAATATTACAACAAGACAACTCTCAAAGGAAAGACAAATTCTTACAAGGACTCTTTCTCTCTTCACTCACACTTCTCACAAGAACTACTAACTCTCTAGCTCACTCTACTTATTCACACTCTTCTTGTTGACACACTTCTTGATTGATTACATTGACAAGCTTCATGCCTATTTATAGAGGTAGCAACCGACTTTGACAAAGGATCTTGTAGTTTCTAGGAATTTTTAGAAGGTTTGGTGTTGCTTACTTTGCTGGACTTCACTTGAGAATTCTAGATTGTTCTAGTTTCAATCTGCCAACTTGCTTACTCCACCGACTTGAGCATTTACTTCAGCTATTGTTTTCTCCTATGTATTATTCTAGATATTTCTAGTGGTATTATCACCTTGTTGTTTACACTTCTAGAACCTTGTAGAGATTGCTCCTCAAAATGGGTTGAGCTGGGGTTGATACTTTAACACTCCCCCTCAACACCAGCTCACATCCTTTGCACCACATTGAGTTGACGACGAAATCTTTCCAACTTGCCGGTACTCAAACCTTTTGTGAACAAGTCCGCAACTTGATCATCTGTATTGATATGTCTCATCTCTATCTCTTCTTGCAGAACCTTCTCTCTGATAAAATGATAGTGTATCTCCACGTGTTTGGTTCTTGCATGAAAGACTGGATTTTCCGCCAAACGAACTGCTGATTGATTATCACAATATAACGGCACTGAATAATCTACCAATTGATGTAGATCATTCATCAGCTGTGTTAGCCACATGATCTCTTGAGCTGCCATTGCTGCTGCCCTGTACTCAGCTTCTGTGGTTGACAAAGATACCGTCGACTGTCTCTTACTGCACCAAGAAATTGTTCCTGAACCAAGCTTAAATACATACCCGGTAGTTGATCGACGAGTGTCATGATCTCCCGCATAGTCAGCATCACAATAACCAACTAGCTTGCAATCTTCACCTTTCTTGTACAACAGACCATAGTCAATTGTACTTTTCACATACCTCAGTATTCGTCGTACTGCGTCCAAATGAGACTTCTTTGGATTTTGCATGTATCGACTCATCACACCAACTGCATACGAAATGTCAGGCCGAGTCAATGTCAAGTAGATTAGACTACCCACCAATTGTCGATACATCGTTGTGTCTTCCAAGTCTTTGCCTTCATATGCGCACAGCTTGACATTGGGCTCCATTGGCGTTGAGATTGGCTTGCATTCAAGCATCCCAAACTTTTGCAACAAATCTTTTGCATATTTCTGTTGACACAGAAATATCCCTTCTTGTGTGC